AAGTATAGGTCGAACAAATGAATTATAAAGAAGTGTCAAGGTGGTAGGTTGGTTAAAATCTTTAGAAGTTCTAAACACAAAGCCAAGCATACGATAAGCCCTAGCTATTATTTTGTTAATATGTAAATTAAAGGTCAACTTATTGTCCAGATATATACCCAGGTCTCTCACCTCGGTCACTCGATTTATGGATACATCGTCAAATCGATAATCATATGCAGTAGGATTGCGTTTCCGCGAAAATGATATGATATTACATTTATTAATATTTAAATAAAGAGAATTATTTTTACAATACAAACATAATCTGTTGAGGTCTTCTTGCAAAAGTGAACAATCTAGTGGAGACGCTATCCTTCTACAAATTTTCATATCGTCTGCGTATAAAAGAATAGTAGAATGTTTAATTATTTTGGTGACGTCGTTAATATATAAATTGAAAAGCAGAGGACCGAGATGAGACCCCTGAGGTACACCTGATGAAACAGGAACGAAAGAAGAGCAATATCCCTTGACTGTTACAGCCTGACTACGATTCCGAAGGTATGAACATAACCACCGAAGTAGATCACCATGTACACCGGCTTCTTTCAACTTTTTTAGTAATATATTGTAGGATATTTTGTCAAATGCTTTGGAGAAGTCAGTGTACACGACATCCACCTGGTAACCCTCATCCATAGATGACAACACATGTTGAACCAATTCGCAGAGGTTAGACTCAGTTGATCTGTGGTTTACAAATCCATGTTGTTGTTCGAGTATGATAGAACGTAGTAAGGGAAAAATAGAATCATAAATTATTTTTTCAAAAGTTTTTGCTATTACACAAAGTTTCGATATCGGTCTATAATTCTTAATATTATGTTTGTCGCCCGATTTGAATATTGGAACCACATACGATCGCTTCCATACAGCAGGCATTACACCAGTTTTTAGCGATTTATTAAACAATAAATGAATCGGATACGCGAGGGTAGCACAACATGATTTTAAAAACAAGGGAGAAAGGCCATCTGGTCCGTAACCCTTACTAATATCAAGATCTTTTAAATATCTCTCAACCGTATCTTGAGTAACAGTCAGGGAGCTAATACATATATGGGAGTTAGATGAAACATAGTCATCATCTGTTGAACTGCCAGGAACATCCGGTCCATAAACTGAGTTAAAGTATTCACCAAAAAGTTGACATATGGCATTGCCACCAGTAGCGATCGATTCATCATAAAACATTGTTTCAGGAAAGCTATTAGATGCAAGTTTAGACTTAACAAATGTCCAAAAATATTTACTATTCTTTTTAATTTGAAGCTCAGAATTATAAATGTAACTATTGTAACAAACGGTTTGTATCTTTTTTTCTCTTTCACGTAACAGATCAAAAGTATCATAGTCACTAAGTCTATTATAAGTTTTCCATTTTTTATGATATTTAAGTTTTTCAGCGACAACTTTTTTAAGAGACTTAGAGTACCAAAACGGATAGCGGTCATTCCCAACAATGGTTTTTACTGGGATCATATCACGAATAACATTATTAATAATTTGATAAAACAAATCAACTGCGTTTACAATGTCTGACTCGTTAAGTAAATCAGACCAATCTATATCAGCTAAAACTTTATTAATTGCATTATAATCCGCCATATGAAACAAACGTACAGTTCGAGGAGCAGTAGTAATAGTTTGTGAAGTGGATATTTTCGGTGAAATAAGTAACGTAGGATGATGTGAGTCCTCAGGAACTAATGGATAATTACACTTCATTACTGAACATTCAAAATTACCCATCACTAGATCAAGATATCTATTATTAGTGTTAGGAACAGTGTTAAATTGTTTAAAATTGTTAAAGTTAAGGAAATGATACACTGACACAATTATACGAGTATAATATGTACTGGTTAAAACATATTAAGTTATTAGATTACGAGTACTACCTTTCTAAAATTATTAGGCTTTCAGCAGACAATAACAGATTTATTCTGTAACTAGCATTGCCCGCGGCTCCGCCCGCGTTCGGATGACCAAAAACCATATTCTTAAGTTTTACATATTAGTATACTCTTACAATGCAGTTTTTGTATTTTTTCTCAGAAATGAGATATTTTCCCGCGGTAAAAAGTATCCTATATGTTGACCCGGATAACCAGCTATCATCATACCAAATTTCATCAAAATCTGTCCAGTGGTTTTCATTGATTTGGACAGACAGACAAAAATTCTAAAAACTATAGATTCGGCCTCTGTATCGATAATAATGTTTATTTTAATAAGATTTTACAAAAAATATTTAATGTACAGATTCGGCTTAGTTACAATTTTATTATATGTATAGATACAAGTATTTACTGTTTCTATACGATTAATGAGTGTTAGTTATTTACTATTTGTATACATGTAAGTTGTCCGTGTCTCTAAGGGTTCGATTGCTAAAGTATTATGTCGGTGGAGTGTGCCAATAAATACTGTATATCAAATTACATCCGGAATTGAAGAAAAGGCGTGAGGACCCCAACCGCTTATATATTTTTTTATTATCTTGAGGAACTTTTTTTGTAAGGATGATAAATCGAAAATATCTGATTAGGTATATATAATAAATCAAAACTCTCATTCACTTAATTTTTATTTTTTTATTGTTTTGAAGGTTTTTTTAAAGTGCTTATTCGTCTTTTCACTTTAATTCGTTTTTCAGCAGAACTCCTTCGATTTCCTCAGATAACATTTACATTAAGTACTGACATCTATTTGAAATTAAAAAAGTATTTTTTAATTCTGTCAAGTAGTTTATACATAAACTAAGAATTATCATAAGGTCTCTAAAATCTTTTCCTATGGGAAACCTTAGTTTCTTATTTTTATTTCTTATTAAAAGGCGCACTAAATATTTACATTACAAATAGTTATTAAAAAACAAAAAAATGAAGTTGTACTTTCTGCAAAAAATATAATTTAAATCAAACTATTTTCAACCTTTTTGTAAGGATAAATAGTACGTAGGTAGTACAGACTTTAGGTACAGGTCAGGTATGCATAATATACCTATACAAATTGAAACAGACAGACATAATGATAGGACATTTTTTTATTTTGTTATTTTCGTGTTTATATAATGCATATGGAAAGCATACTTAAAAAGAAAATACAAATATAGGCAGTCAAAGTTTATACTTTACAGGCACTGGTTGGTCCGTAGGTATATTGATAATCTTATTTAATGTAACTTTTGTTACCATATTCTAAAATTTGCAGTATAACAAAGTTGAAAATACAACACCTCCAGGTAAATTTCTATGAAATTAATTAAAATTCTGAGAAATCTATTGTTAACTATACGCGGTCGTGGAGCGATTGAAGTACAGTCAAATGTTTCAATTCTTGAAATGAATGGATGAATGAATGAATGGATTTCTATTTTCTTGTTTGTCGAAAAATAATAATTTGATGAACTTTTAGGTTAAATAATTTAATACAATAATAAAATTTGGATTTTAGGTTCTCTGTGAGATACTATTCATTTGCATTTTATTAAGAATTGTTAATAAGATAGAATAGAAGCTGTAAATCAACTTTTGAACATATTTTATAGCAAGAGAACAATTAAAAGAGATCGTAATGGAATTAATTATCGTAGTCAAACATTTTTCTCACGTATATAGGTTTCTTTTCGTTTTTATACATATTTTCTTTTCAATATCTATACATATAATAAAACTGTAGAGGTCGAATGTCTGTACATAGAAAAAAAATGCCAAAAATTGAGTCAGGGGGATGTAAGAAGAGAAAGAGAGAACAAATCCAATTTTTTTTATTTTTTTGTTTCTCTGTCCGTTTGTCTGTTTGTACGGGCTAATCTCCGAAACTGTTGGACCGATTTAAATGAAATTTTGCATGGTGGTTCCTTCCCAGTCAACATTTTAGATACTTTTTATTCCGTAAAGTTAAAGAGTTCCCATGGGATAGTTAAAAACTAAATAGTAATTTATACAGCTTAGTACACAAAAACTACTAACAGAAGTATAACAAATAGGCTACTTTTTATCCCGAAAAAATGTACGGTTCTCGTGGGACAGTTTTTTTTTTGCTTAGAGGCGAACCCGAGCAAAGCGAGAGTGAGCCGCTAGTATTTAATAATAATAATTCAATAACGATATTAGGTATGTACCTATAGCAATATGAGTTCTTGTAATATTCCTATTTAACTGATATATCTTTACTCTTAATGGATAAAAGATATGTAATTTATCATTTTCTCATAAAAACTTAAGATTTGTATCATCTTACAGTAAGTGAGCTTTTGATATAATGGTAAAGTTAAACTTGAACAAAAATTTATAATATATCATTGTAAAAGATCCATACATAAAATATACTATAATTTGTCGATTATCTACTGTCTTAATGTTTAACGTTTTATTTTTCTCCTTTTTTTTGAATAAGCGCAAAGAAAAAAATGTGAACATTATATTTTAAGGTAAGCTTAGCTTTCAAAGAAAAATATTTCAATTAGTAGAAATTAACTTATATATTTTCCGAGTAAAAAAAAATTTCCGTATTAAAATCTTTATAATATCATTTAAATCGAATAACATTTTATAGATGAAATCATATACTCGTATATACCGAAATGCCTAGTACAGTGTATTATCTAATATGAGCTTAATTAAATAAAAAAATATATTAATAACTTCATATTTTTTAATTGTTTAAATTATTTATTATTAATTATTTTTGTTATAAAATTATATATTTTTTAATTTGTAATTGTAATTAATTAATTATTGAAAAAATTAAATTGGAATTGTTGTATACTATTTAATACTAATGTGATAGCCTGTAAAAGCAGCAAGTTGTAACTACCTATAATTAAAAGTGCTATTATCATGATAAGTTATATGTAACCTAGGTTTAAGTATTATAATATTGTAACTTTTGTAGGTAGTTCAATAAATAAATATTTTGCATATTAATTACGTAGGTATAGTTTTACTTACCTTGTACATACTGTAAATTTTATACGATCTATCATGATCGTCGGAGGTGACCTGAGTCGGTTCCATGGCGATACATAAACTAAAGGCAACACTAAATTCTGAGATTGTTTGTCCATTCACCAACTTTATTTAAAATTGCATAAATATCTACACTGTTTTAATTCTAAATAAAATTATCCCAGCAACTTAAATGACATAGATAATATTAATTAATTATGAAATTTAAAATGTAAATTAATTTAACACATTATTTATTTTTTATTAAAATATAAATAAAATTAATATTTATTATGTTTTAAGATAATAAGAAATGAAAATGAATGAATGGATTATTAATTTAAATAATAAAAAATTGTATGATAATTTCTTCGATAAAAATAAACGAATAAACACGAAATGATAAGGCGTTAAAGTCATCAATCGTATAGTAATTACGGTATTTATCAATGGAGTCGGTACGCGTGAAGCGAGGTGTCTCCGTGGAGCAGCAAGCGGTAAGCGAGCACGTGGCCGGCACGGGGCTCGCGGGCCTGGCGCGGCGGGACACACTTGCGAATCCGCGAGGGAGCACCCGCCGGAAACCGAGGTGTACCGGGGCTCCTCGAGTACAGAGAAGTGGCGGCCCGCGGCGCGCCTGCCCCGCGCACCCCGCGCCCTGCACCCCCCACACCCGCACATGCACTCAGAAGCCTCCACACCACCGCTCACCCCGCATTCTATACTCGCCTTAATCGCAAATTAAGGCTCCAGTAATGTTTTCCGTCGTGCTTAGACATCAATTTCATATTTTTTCTTATTTTAGCATAACAGATTTTGATAACTTAAACTTAATACTCCTATTAAAATGAAATGATGCATTAGGTAATTATTTATGTTTGTCAACCTTTGATCTGTTTGATTTTTTGTATAATAACAATTTAAGAAAATCTAAATGATCCCTTAGCTTACTATCTCATTGAAAGACAATGAGTTATTTATGTAAGAAAGATGGAGAAAATATATAGTTATATTTTACAATATTAAAGATGCGATACTCCAATACCGGTTTAGTAAGATCCAGACAACAAGGAAAATACGACCAGTCATGAGCTTATTATTAATCTGTTCATACTATTCATATGTACATATACGAGTATAGGTTGGATTGCATCAATTGACCCTTCGCATCCCTTCGCTTTCACGTTTCAGGGCCTAACTAATTAGTCTTATTTCATGTACGATTATTCATTTTGGGTGTTTTTGGGTGTTATTTGATACAAAAATGTTCAAAACACACTTTCGTCGGGGTTTGTCATCAAGAGTTTAATAAGTTTTATCTAACAAGTTACGTAACTATATTTTGGGCTTGTGCCAAAACTGAATAGTTCGCGTATGAGAAAGTTTTCATGTTTATTGGATAATTGTAAAAGAAATAACATTAAATCAATATGAATTATTGAGATTCAATTAAATAAAAACATTTTAGCTTCATGCGACTTATTTTTAAATGATGGACTTTTGTAAGAATATTAATAGTTTTACCCCATTTTTTTTGTTTTCCTGTAGAACAGTTTTCATCTTAAATGGAGATAAACAAGCCAGCGTTGCTAGAAGTGGTGTATTAGTCCAGTGCAGAGTTCGATCTCGTAACCCTCACCGTTATAAGCAGTGACAACCAGACGAACTGCTAGCGATGTTGAACCTACAATATAATCAATTTGTTGTTACTTTATTGCGTTGGAGCTAAATTTTGGTTGGACAAATTAATTTTGATAGGGCTTTTATGGTAATCCTACACATTTATAAGTGATTAACACTGTTGTCTTAGGTTGAATTATTATCTGCCTGTTTAATATCAAATCAAGGATAAAAAATATTTAATTGAAACGTATGTTTTAGCGTGAATACGAAATGCGATAGATAGTTCTTTGAGATTATTCAGCATATAACAGCACTATATGTGATGGTTTTTTACTTATTCTACAGTATCAGTCAAGCTCTACCTAATCTCAAGTTAGATCATATTGATTAATATCGTTTCATATTGAACAAATTTCAATTTAAAACAGTTGACCAAATTATTTATTACCCATTCTTGCTTTGCTTTGAATTATTTAATTAGAGGTTCTAACTACATCGTCTCAAAAGCAAAAAGTCATTTTCACGCTAATAATATTTACTTGTGCAAAACAAAATATGACGTTTTAGTAAGTTCTAGTAAAAAAGGAAAGTTAAAGTAAGTGTTATCGTTTTAATCAATTTTCCTCAAAAGTTTTTTGGCATTTAGTACAACCTTAAGGTCGTCACTATGAGATGTTTAGACATAACTTTCCCAATTTCATGATGGATTATTTTCTACTGACTTGTTGTGGGTATGCGAAGTATCCAATCAGTGTCTGAGAGTTATCACACGCTGGCGCCTGGTGTAAAATTCTTGCGGTGCACAGGTTGTTTTGAGTGGGTTGTTCTATTTGTGGTGACAGGAGAAGCGTGGGTGCCGCGTGTACCGAGCTGGAGTGGCAATGACCTTGACACTAAGCGAGTGGCCTTGGGTAGCACGTGGCGGCTGACACCCGCTGTCTGTTGTCGGAACGCCGCCGCCGCCGCCTTTCCCAAGGGAGTCTAATGTGGACATGCTCTGAAAATTGCAAGTGGCTTAAATTTTGTAGTTTTGTTTTTTTTTAAAGCTTTAATATGTATTTGAAATTTGTCGGAATTACGGATTTTTAAATAAATGTTGAAACAATAAAACTGAAGTTTATTTTTTATTCCAGATATCATGACGTTATTACATTCAGTTCGTGTATATAATTTGAATAGATAATTAGCCAAATTATTTTTCATAAAATTATAATAGACTTCTAGATTTGTTTATTATATTTTTCTTTCATAGGTATTTAGAACTACAGAAGTTAGTTTCAATGTAAGTGCAATAATATACAAATGTAATAGCAAAAATAAAATGGCAATGCGAAAAATTGGCAAGGTGTATCCATGATATGATAGTGTGTGAATGGGTGCGATTCAGAGCGTCGGCGACGTGCGGCAGCGTGTCGAGTGCGGTCGCCGCGGGGCGGCGAGCAGTAGCCCCCGCCCGATACGTTTACGAGCCGACACTAACTTTAAGTGACCCTGCTTGCACTCGTGCGCCACTATCGTGTTTATGTTCCGTCTCAATGAGAACGGATACCTTAACTTTGGCGATCGTACCTTAGTTTTTAAGAATTCTGTATATTATAATCTTCGTTCTTCAGTCTCAATTGTACCTAGTTCTACTCTACTTAGAATGTCAACAACCTAATCAACTTGACTCCATAAGATAATTTGTTTTAATAAGAAGTCGAAACTCCTAAAGTTGCATGCGATAATTCAGCAAATTGAAGGCAAACAAGCTTATCAGCTGTCAAAGAATGCGTGCCGCGGTAGGCCGACAGCAACACGCTGTGAGCGTGGCGGCGCGCCGCGGTGTAGGCAAGCGTGGACTCGGAATGAATGAACGCCAACTCGCTTTTTATCGCCACTCTAAATGCGGGGATTTGCTCGCAAACACCTGTAATTTGCTTTTATACTTGTCAATCACTTCATCAAACCTCTTTTTTTTCTTTTTTTTAACACAGCTTGTTTGGATAACATATTTTGTGGTATTGTGTACGATATATGAAACTTGATTAGTTCCATATATCATACACTTATATTATAAATGCGAAATATTGGGAGAGTGTCTATTTGTTACTTTTTAGCGCCTAGTTCCTTGAATAGCACAGGTCATACGTAACATTTTTTTTATTTTAGATAACACTAGCGACTTACCCTCGCTTCGCTCGGGTTCGTCCCTAGGTGCGTTTTCAATTAAAATGTATATAATATGTTATCCTTCGAGGACATAATATGCCATCGCGAACTTTTCTGTAGACTTATATAAGATACACAATTCTACCGTACAAATGTTGTTATATCTCAAAGGGTTTAGGCAGCGTTTTCGTTGAATGCTCCCAGACGGCTTATTTTTTCCGTCACCTCCGATAAATATCGTTATATTTTAGCCAATCTGTACAAAAACTTAACAAATTATATACTAAAACCTACCTCTTGATTCATTCTATCTATTAAAAAAACCGCATCAAAATCCGTTGCGTAGTTTTAAAGATCTAGGCATACATAGGGACAGACAAACAGCAGGAAGCGACTTTGTTTTATATTGATTTTTCAGATAACGCGTTACACACGTATGGAGTTTTAAGGTAAATAAATACAAAGTAACATCTACTGCCGACAACACTACGAACTGCTATTTAATAATATGCATCAGAAGGGTTTACATTTATATGTAATCAATATTAAGATCAAAATTAATTATTTACATTTTACTTTGACACCACAACATATTGCAAAGCACAATGTACCTAGCATTGCAATAAATGGTGGAGAACAACGAACTATTTAGTTGGTTAATGGTGGAGAAAATACCCCATATGGAGTTAGTTGAGTGCACAATATGCCATGGTACCATTAACTTATTGATACCTATTCCTTGGGACTTAGAGGATACATCATTCTACACTCGTTGAAACATAAAAATATAAAAAAATATATATGAAAATGAAATATGATGATTCTATCACATAATGATTAAAGTCATTTTAATAAAAACAAAAAAATTCTGTTGTTTACTAATCGTAGAATGATACTTTGTCAAGCCCCAATTTTACAAATTATTAGATATTTCTTTATTTAAGTTTAAGTATAAACAGAATTATTATGTGCTGCAAATAAAAAAATATCTTGCTTCCCAATAGAACCGTTCACCCCCTTTAAGAGATGATTTCCGAGATTAAAAGTATCCTATGTCCTTCCCAGGATCTCAAACTATCTTCTTACCAAATTTCATCTAAATAGGTTCAGTAGATCCAGAGATTATCTCCTACACGTCACAGACTCATAAAATCACAAACTCACAAGCTTTACCTCTTTATAATATTACTATAGATAAACAGTTATTTAACGACCGTCAACTTGAAACTATGACTAACTATTACTAGATAATAATAGCTGTTATGATCAATTACTACTTTAAGAAATCTCTTTAAATGGACATAACACAAGTAAGTTAGTACCTACCTATCCACTATAAAAGAATATACTATTTTAAATTATGAAGTGATTGATGTATTGTTAGATACACTTTTCCAATATTTAACGGAAAATTTTAATGTTGTGCGTTTGGCTCAGTTTGTAGTGACCCTACTTGCTGTGCCAGTCGCGGGTTCGAGGCCCGCTGGAGTCATTCATTTGTGTGATAACGAATGTTTGTACTCCAGTCATGGGTGTTTATATTTATAATATGTATGTATTTAAAGTTATATATGTGTAGTGTATCAACTATCTGGTATCCATAACACGAGCCTCGTAGCTTACCATGGAACTAGATGGTGCTGTGTGTTAATGTCCCTACATATTTATTTATTTATTAATATTTATGTGTTAAATAGGGATATACTCAAATTCACGTACATAAACGTAATATAAACATAATACGTAAATTCATTGATTTTCTTTTTTCAATTTTCATTCTTATAACAAGAGTTCCTTATATATGATATGTATATTATATAAGGAATTTTTGAAAATATATAAGTTATCTTCATCGAAATTTCACTGAAATTCATTAAACCGTTACAGCGTGAAGAGTCACTTACTGATATAACTTTCGCTTTTATATTATTTAATGTAATTTTGCCATATTTGTGTCCTGACTTAAATGATCATAAGCGCGTCAGTAAGAGTTCAGAGATTTTAAATTAACTAATATATGTTTGGTCTTGTAGCTAGCATCTATGGCTGCAAATCTCTAGGTTTTACAGACCTGGGTATAAGTATCAAGTCAGTTTAAGAAATCAAAAGCGATCCAAAGTCGGAAAGTTGGCGGTATTTTCCGCGGTGCCTCGAAGAGCGTGTAAAACCGTCGGTCGATCCTGCGCCTAATATCTCATAGGTCGTGTCAAGTTTTCGTCCTATCGGACTTTGAGTAACAAACATAGAAAGCTTGTGTTTGTGCACACATTTGTGTAATATAATATTTTCTGCGTAGTTGGCTAGTCTCAGTAGTAGGCCATTTATTATTATTAATACATTCTTAATATTATCATATTATTATTAAATTTTTTTGGAATTTGGATAAAGATTAATCTTAAATTGATCTAACCGATCTCCGAAGTATATTTGTATCTATTATGTGCCCTATATATAAAATTAAATATGTATAGTGTTTACATATCCTTAAAAGTTACTTGTGTTTTAATTTCGAGCTCATATGCCAGTATAACTGGCCTTAAGCCTACGCTTTGTCCGTACTCTATTAAAGCCACCAACAACTACGTTACAAAACATTAACGGGCAGAAAGTTGATCTATTCATCTTATTATTTGGTCTATTTTTTTAATTTGATTCTTTCCATTACAGAGTCATTAGGTCCTTAAGGGATCTAAAATGCGTAAAATGGTGGCAATACTATTATTTTTGAATATACAGGTACTTTATTAGCTGTGGATCAAAACCATACTCTTATACTTAATTATTCGATTTAAATATTATACTTGCATAACCATTTTAGAATAGTTACTATACAATTTTGGAGACTTACAAAACATTGGCTGAGGTAATAACATTATTATGTATGGTGGTATTGCTTGGAATAAATCTTAAATTTAATTTATTTTGAAGTTTTGCAATTTAGCCAAACTTTCTGTTAATATAAATAGCTATAAAGCAGAGAATTTTTTACCTTTATTACTCTACGCGAAGTTGTATTTGTACATTTTGGTTTCAAAATTTTTACACGAGTTGGTATTGGTTTCTAACCTGTGAAATCAAAAGGTGGGTAAATGAAGGCTCAGTTACATTTAGGAATCCAGCTAGATTTTATACCCAGAAATGCACCAGGAAGGCATCTATCAGCCTCATGCGATTCTTGAAGCATCAGCAACAAATTATGGGTATTATATAAATTATTAATGGGTAGCAGGAGATGTACCATATGGGTTGCTCCTGGTGCATACTTATCTCAAAGCAAAGCTGGGTTTTGTGGGCGGGGAGGAAAATAACCTTATTAAAAAAGGCCTAAATCTTATGTCGCATCGGACAATTAGAATATATGAAAATTAATTAGTAGTGATCCTGTGGCGCATCATTAAGATGATCAGGGTCTGCTAGATTTAAATGTGTAGTACTTTTATAGCCGATGGGCGATGAGTCACCACAAAACAACCTACATGTAGGCAAGTGGAATGTTAAAATACATTTCAATTAAAAAATATACCCTGGATTTTTTTTCAATTTATTGCTGATTGAAAGAAGCAACTTTAAAATATCGCGTCATATTTATAATATTAGTAAGAAACTATAGTAATACCTATTCATATAACAATTTTAATTTCAATATAATTTAAATGATTTAAAATCACTCTCGATTTGTTAATGAAATTATTGCTTATAATAGGCCATTAGCATTTTTAACTAATTAATAATATAATATTAATTAATAATATTAACACAACAGCCAGATTTATTAAATTATTAAAAAAAAAACATTTTGTCTTTTAACACACAGGTATCTTTGTATTACGAACTTTAATACGTGTAGAGATCAATATTTCAAAGAAAATTAAATTATGGGCTCTTCCAAGAGAATAAAATTATAACATTGATAGAATGTTTACGAAAATATAACTTAACAGGGGGTTTCATTTGGAATTGATACCTTTTTTTTAATTAAGATAAGAATTAATTTTCAATTATTTTTAGTTCTACTTGTATTTTTATTAGCTTTTTATACGTCGCAAGTTTTACATAATTAAAAAGCATTTCATGATGGAAAATCAAAAAATTAAATTCAAGTAAAAAACTTATTCACTTGGTGAAACTACAAGTTAGAAAAAATGCCTTAGACCTGAGAAGAACTTGCGAAAGCTCAAAAAGCCATCGTAACTATTCAGATTTCTTTAATTTTTCACTTTGCATTGTCTTTACCAAGATGCAAAGAGACGTAAACTATCCAATACAACTCGTACGAAACCTATTGTACGTTCATAGTACCTACTATCAAAAACCTCTCCGGGCGTAACCACAATAACTCACAGAAGTATCTGTCTACTAATTTGTATTGTATATTGTGTTTTAATATAACAATAACTATGTATATATAATATATATTTATTTAAGTATTTACATTTGAGTAACTGCACTTTAGCCTGCTTTTTAATACTATCTCTCTAACTCATTTAGGTTGACGGGAAGAGAACTTCTAGAGATAAGTCCACCTTTGCTAACTAATTTTATTGATTGTTACTCTCTGTATTTTACATATAAGTGCAATAAAGAATAGTATATAACTAATACATCATGTATAGTTGATTCTCTTGTACTTCTTCTACTCTTTTGACCTTTTTCATTTTTCTGAGTTCATTTATCTGTATTAATGATTCCTGGGTTCGAGTCCCGGGTCGGGCTAAGTTTAGTTATTGAGTCTTTCTGTGTAGTAAGTCTCAGTAGCAGCCCGGAATTGGGAAGGTGGCGGTGTTTCACCCCCGTGCCTCGGAGAGCACGTAAAGCCGTCGGTCCTGCGCCTTAACTCTCACTGGTCGTGTCGAGCAGTTGTCCCACCAGAGTATGAGAGTGACAGGAATAGAGAGTGCATCTGTGTCTGCGCGTACACTTGTGCACTATAATATCTCCTGCGCAGTGGGCTAGTCTCAATGATATTGGCCGCCGTGGCCGGAATCGGCTAGGAGTACATCGTCATCGTCATTAATGATTATTATTATTTTGAAAGATTAAAATGAAAAGGTTTATATAGCAGTTTTAAAATCAATAAAATCTTTTTTTGTATTTTAATATATAATTACTTAATATGTTTATTACTTACAAGTGTGTAACATTAATTAATGATTGGCAACAATGTCAAAAATATCACATTCACACAAACATAAGAATTTCTATTTTTTATCGCAAAATGCCTCTATTACATAACATTAACTGGATAATCAATATTTATCGCAGTAAAATCTGCAACGAATATTCATTTTACTAGAGTATGAAATATGTAATCTCGCAATTTAAGTTAAAATGAAACACGATACAAATTCCAGAGTTAATTTCAAATAAGGAAAATTATAAAAAGTTTTGTTATATTTTATAATACTCAGGGCCAGCAGGGGGAATTGTGATCTTTGCAATGCGATTGAGTTAAATGTTATTCTCAGCGACGTCGAGCGCTTTCAATTTAATTATTTGGGGTATAATAGTGATGACACGGAAAATGGCTCATCGAATGAATAAGATTTAAAAGGTCTTTCATGCGACACGCACACTATGGATTTGTTCCAATATAGAACATGGAGTTATTTTAACAGCTTCATTGAGGGCATTGAAAAGTACTCAATCCAATACAATTTTCCTTGCATGACTCAGTAATGATATTCAAAGAAATCTAAACGCGATATAGATAATATAATAAAATAAAATTGCTATGCGAATTCGTGAGAAAATTTAAATAAATGACTTTTCTGTTTGCACATAAAAAGAAATATATTGCGGCACAATGAATGTTGGGGGGTTGGAGTGGGTAGTGGGGACAGTCGTGAGGCGGACGAGAGACGGCGCTGAGGAAAGAGTGCGGGGGCGCGGGGCGCCGGGGGGTGACCCACTTTAACGGGACAAGTAATATTACTTTTTACTTTTAGGTAACTATTTCACGTTTTTATAGCGATAATAACATATATCGTAGAGTAATAAACTGTCCTCCTTCCATAATAACTTAATATATGTATCGACTGCTTGTTATTTTTAGTTTCTTAAATATGAAATATTTATTTAATATGTAATCTTATTCATAACAACGTAAGTCAAGGAAAATTTCTAAATTGAAGTAGCATTCCCTTTTATATTAAGTTATTTTATTTTAAATATTTGTATACCTAAATTTGTTATTAGGATTAATAAGCAAAAATGTTGCCAGTTTATATTAGTTAAATGCAGTCGTAAGTCTAATCTAAACGAGCGAGCGTACTGTTATTGATGTAGCCGGTTTGTATAGAATGTTTATGTATACATTCAGCCCCCATTCTCATATTTTGTATAGGAGGGCGTGTTATTTGTTTGAATTAATTAAGTTTTCCTCCATATTTTTGTTACATGCTATATTAACTCAAAATGTATTGTTACATGAAAATTAATAATGTATACACGTTTAGATGAGCATTTCTATCATTTTACAAACTTTATAGAGTTTAATTTAAAGTAATACTACGAATATGAATATAAAGGGGCTTAGTAAAACGAAACAGGTTTTCAAGAGGATATTAGTTTTATAAGTAGAGATAGTGATGAAATAAATATTTGTTTGATTAGAGGTTTAAGTAAGAAATGTGGTATAATTATATGTTGGTAGAGTTTGTATAATAGATGCTTTATATTAACCGTCATATTTTATATTACAAAGAAGTAACATATATTATAAAATATTATAAAGAAGTAAAGCTTGTGAGTTTGTGAGGTTGTAGGCGGTAATCTCTGGATCTACTGAACCAATTGATGGAAGATGGCAAGATGGAATTTGATAAGAAGATAGTTTGATACCCTGGGCAGGACATAGGATACTTTTTATCCCGAAAATCATCCCTCAAAAGGGGTGAAAATGGGGATAAAAGTTTGTATGGGGAAACAACCTAGGAACGAACACGAGCGAAGCGAGGGTGAGTCGCTAGTTATTTAATAAATGCACGATTTTGTAATGTAAGAGATTAAAACATTGGTAATTTCTTTTGTTGGAGATCTATCGGTGCTAGGTGAAATGGTAAATATTTTCAAAATGGATATTAAAGTTAAACATACATATGATGTTTTAAGAAACGAAGACGAGTGCTCGTTTATAAGCGTGATTTAACAACTCCAGCATATTGATTTTTACGTCGCCGTGGGCCACCCCCTCCCCGCGGGAAGAGTTGTGCACGGGGGTAATGCTAAAATGCTTGTTCCCCTATTTGAGAGTACATACTGGGGGGACGTTCAACAGAACCCGCCACTAAACACTGTTTTTCTTACCAATTTTCTACCACTTCCAGCTTATTGAATGTGGTTTACGTAATGTTTAGGTCCGGATACAACTATTTTATGTTACACGCAAATGTGACACACTTTCTATCGTAGTCATTGTTTTATCTTTATTAAGTGTTTGACCTAACATAAAAAATAAAGAAAAGTTTTCATGTTTTCAATAAATTGTTATTAAATATATTTTTGCTATTATTGTTTATAGTTTGTACATTGATTTAAGTTATAATGTCACGCGCTGCTATTTTTAAATGCAAGAAGCAAAAATTCATGGTTAGTTTACAAATACTTAATTAGTAAATTATTATTAATAAGTAGTATCATTTTAATGAAAATATTTATAAAATGGTAGTCTGCAGTTGGATGTCCCCGCGAGTTTGTTCAGCCCCACCCGCGCACTTTTCAGTGGGCCGCCCGCCGCACCCTTCGCTGCACCCCATGTGTTATTCTCCGCTCCGTCCCGCGCCGGGACGCTCCTTCATTTTACTCCAATTTACAACTGAAAAAATTCAAACAAACATTTCCTAAATTAAATCTTCATTTAAAATTAATGCTAATTTACAAATGTCGGATTTTCAAAGAGTTCTCTTTTAAGTGGAACGGCTAAGAAAGTAATCTAATGGAATCTAATTTAAAATACATTATTTTTCATACTAAGTATGGTAAATAATAATAATGACAAAAAGTTTGGCTCAGTTTGTAGTGACCCTACTTGCTGTGCCAGCGGTCGCGGGTTCGAGTCCCGCTGGGGGCATTCATTTGTGGTGAGCACGAATGTTTGTACTCCAGTCATGGGTGTTTATATTTATAATATGTATGTACCTATTTAAAGTTATATATGTGTAGTGTATCAACTATCTGGTATCCATA